TAAAAAGACAATTAATTATGCATAATCAAATATCGATCAAAAAAACTATGGAAATTACCTCTCAAACAGAAGACACCCTTCAATTTTCATTACTGCAATGGTGGTGCCTAAGACAAACGGAACCACTTACAATTCCGTCAGAGATACAACTCGAAATAGATAATTTGCGAGACAAGAAATTTATTGAACAAGGTGAATTCTGGATAAAGACAAAGATAGGACCAAATACCTTTAGAAACATTGTTTATATTAAAGATATAGACCGATACAAAGAACTACAAAAAAATAAATTTGAATACAGATGGGGAAATTTCACTCTTAATTTCACCTCACAAGCTCGCACTACAATTTGTTATGATTGTAACTTTGCTTATAGTGGATACCATCCGAAAGCAATCTGTGAAGACGTTAAAAAATTACCCAAACATTTATAAATATCATCATGTTCCAGAATAATAAAAACTAACATTTCATAATACAATTTTATGTTTTTTATTATTTATTGTCAAAATCAAATATTTAATAGTAAGATGAAAACTATCTTAAGTTTAACCTTACTTCTTTTACATTATAAGGTGAATACTATTTTATGTATAACCTTCATTATAACTAACGATCAGGAAAAAATTCAATAGATTCCCTGCATAAATCAGGAAGTACAAATTCAGGTCTATCTATTTGATAAAAATGAAGAGATCCAGGCGTAGCCTTTTTGAATAATCGAGTATCCACGGGATATATTATTCCATTATTCACTTCGTACCATCCACGAATGGTTTTAACATGAAGATAAGTATGCCAGGAAGTAAATACATCTGTAGGATTAGGTTTACGATAAAATGATGGATAATCCTCACCTTCCTCATTTCTATAACATTTTATTACAACGGAACTGCACAAGCGTTTGTACTTTTCACTCACATTATTGACCGTGAGCCACAAATTATTGGGGACATTTATCTCCTCGGTCGATTTTCCGAATTCATATCTCATACAGAGAACTTCAGGATGTTCTAGGAATTTGCAGGTATCAATATCTCGTAGTTTTCCGGGACAATATAAAGGATCATAATGTACATGAGACAATTTTTGAGCGTTAGCCAATAATACTGGATTTTTCAAAATATTTTGGAATTGAATATTCACTGGTACTGAAATATAAGGAAGTGCGAACTCGTATGAATATGGGCCGTTACAACAATTACCACATGCGGATGTGGTCTTGAAACGGAAAAAAAGATCTCCGTATAGTTCAGGATTACTAGAACAAAGTTTGCTCATAATGAATCCATATGCCTGGCATTCATCTCCTCCTGGCTTTAAATAATCTTTATCACAATAATTTCCTAACATATTACATATACCACGAATTAGAAGAGTATCCAGCACTATGTCATCACGGGGATTTACAGGTGCATCAGGCAGCTCAGGATCATCCTTGGATTCGGGAATAACTTTCTTTTCAATATAACCTGAATTAATCATCTCGTAAAAACCTTTTCTTGAAATCTTGTGGAAATCTTTAAAACACCTATACAATGATTGACTCCACATGCGAGGTGTCTCGATCCTAGGGCGTTTACTGGGTCGCTTGACTCCTAGACCTAAATTTACTTCCAGGACATCTTGACAATTTATTTTGAAGAGTTTTGACATGATCGGATAAGAGTAAAAAATAGGTAATACAGCCGCTATAAGAAAACAATGCCCACGAATGTTCGGGAATCCAATGAGATATGGTGGCTAAGTAAGATAAATAAGAATAATTATTATAAGTGAAATTCATTTCAGAATTAACTTGTAACTTAAACACATTTATATCTAATATAAGTGAAATTCATATCAGAATTAACTTATAACTTACCATCATAAAAGAAGAAACATTCTTTGATAATAACTCGCCTAAGCGAAAACAAGCGATGTCACAAGCGCGCTTATAATCTGCATGAGATCCAAAAGCTTCATAGATAATCTCATCATCATCTACCACTGAACATTTAACAAGTGCATGTTGATACGGGAATTGAAATAATTGACGACTTCTAGAGAAAGACTCCATCCAACTAGGTCGCAAACTTAAATAACATTGAACAAAAACATGAGTCCACCCTTTATGGCTATCTTCGTCAGCAAAACTTTTGCGATTTTGTAAAATTTCCAACGGAAAAATACACAAGTTATATTTGTAGTTATTGTCGATCTCCTCCTCACTCACTTCATCCTGTAAATAGAGATAGATAGATTTATTAATAAACAACAAAGATGATAAATATTCATATTACTTACAAACATGATGGGAGATATTTTCAAAAGGTAGATTATTATAAATTAATTAAGTAAAAACACTTATGAAAACAATATTGATAAATGACAGAAACAAGCTATCTTCAACTATTTATAATCATCAGAGATAGAGTAAAGCTATGCTTCCATTACATCATATAAAATTATTTAAAAATAGCGCTTAATAGCGGTATCTCCTAGGTTATGATTAAAATATCATTCACCTAGGGTTTGATACCGATGTCATGACGACAACGTGGCTTAAATATCCATGAACTAAAATGTTGTTTTATGTAATAAATGTGCGCCAGATACAAAAAGTACAACTTTTAGCTATTGAAATAACAGAGAAATATAAAAATGCTTGTGTCTGTGTTTGTGACTCGAACTCACGCATCTCTACGAACACAAAGATCAACTCCAAATCGATCATTAACAATCGTGTTACGGTATACCTATCATACAACCTACAATGGGAAGACTTACGAGTAGATGTGAAAGACATGATAATAATTAGACTGACAAATTATAAAACTATCGTGATCAACTGTTATATCACTCCTTTTACGACAGCACATTGGAAATTAACCCAACAACAGATCGCGAAAATTTCAGAAACTCTAACTCAATTTAAAGACCACAAAATCGTATTAATGGGTGATCTCAATGCTGCTCACCCCTCATGGAATTCAACTCAACACCATCGTGAATTTTATCGAAGAACTTTTGAAAACCAACTTTTCAAAATTGTGAACGAATCAAACTTAAAAGTTTTGAATGATCCAAATATCCCTACATACGAACAATCAGGCCTTGTCATTGATTTAATCATCACAAACAAAGAAGTGAAATGTAATTGGATCAGGATTATTAAGTTGCCTCACACAGATCATAATGCGGTGGCAGCAAAATTGATACTTAAACGTTCTGCAATTAACTATAAAAGATATCTAAAAATTGGTTCATGGAAATGGAACAAGAGCTATCCGATCAGTCAGGATGAAATGCAAAAATGGACAAAGGATTCACCGATAATTCGTCTTTGTCACGACATTATCCATTTCCCAGATAATAATGGACGGTGGCTGAGACAAATTAAAACTAAACAACTCAAGAAACGTATTAAGAACTTACGAAAAAGCATTTATACCAAATTACAAAATGCAAAAACTTCAAAAGATCAATGGCATAAAATAAATAAATATATATTTCCTAAGGAACACAAAGATATCTGGCAAAATCCGGCAACTCAAAAATCAAGAGAACTACTTCTAAAAGACTTCACTACAAATAAACCTATTTACACTGACCATCCCTCAAATGAAAGAGGTTGTTTAACGAGTACGGGAGATATTATTAATAAAATCATTCAAAGCTGAAAGTTCAAGCATAAACGCAGATAATTTCACTCAGAGAATGTGGAACAAATTCACTAAACAAAATCAACACATAATCATAGCAGCTATATCTCAAAATATTTAAATACTCTCATATACCACAAAAAAGTGACGACATTAGGTTGTGGTTTTTGTTATCAAAGCTGATGGTGTGAATGTAAGAATGGGTTAAGAGTCCTAATTACCTCTTCAAGATTATTGATAAAATTCTAAAACCAAGAATCATGAATTACATCGATTCCATGGGTGGATAAAAGGACTACAATTTGGATTTTTGGAAGACACAAACAGATTCCAATTAATACATCAATTACAACGGAAATCCGCTTGATGAACCCTA